ACTGATAAGAAAAGAGGACTGTCGAGAACCGGAGCATCGCAGATAAGAAGCGACGACAAAAAAGGGGAACTGTAGTAGTGTACTCCACTGTCAGAGTTCGTCAAGTCGTGGGGGGCATAAACAGCAGTCAAAAAGAGAAGGGCGCCGGCGTACAGAGCCCAACACAGTCACCTCCAGACGTCCATTACTGACGGTTAATTGGCGCACATCCTCTACAATTGCCTCCATTGTCGTTGTTGACGCCCTGACGACCCTTGACATCACTGGCAGTTAATTAACATATATCGCCTATACTTGCCTCCTCCCCTCCTTTTTGATTTCTATTTTATAGCCCTGACGAACTGATGACCTCTGACAGTAAATTGGTGTACACCACTATAACTAACCCCCTTTTGCTGTTGTTTCTTAGGTCTGAAGATAGACTTCTGTAAGTGTTTGAAGGCTCAGGACAATAAATAAATACCTCTGGTGCTCGACAATCCCTCTTCCTTATCCATGCAAATATCTGGAACGCAAACGTTTTCATTAATTCGATCACTGCGAATCTTTCACCAAGACCTGGAGGTCGTTGACTTCTTAAGTTCGGTCTCTATGGCGCACCATGCGCTCCACAGTCAACGCTCGTGTTGGTTCTGAAATGTTTTTTAAAGAGGATGACTAGCCTTTTTTGTTGCCTTCATGCCAAAATTTACATCTTGATCGGCGTTCCCACCGATGCTTACGCAATAGGTGCCTGCTATTTTTAACTTCAGACGTATTAGCGATGCACTTTGAGTGATATTTTTCGCATTGTATAATCTCATCCACTCCTCCGATTGCACTCTGACGTCCCTAAACTTACTTTCAAAAAACCTTACTGAGTATACTATCGTCAACTTGTCCACTGCTGAAAGTTTCAAATTTTTGAAAAACCAGCTTGTATGGTCAGTTTGAATGGCCAACAGTAAGTGCCTCCCCATTTCAAGCAGTATACCCAATCCGAGTCTTTATGGACGTGGGTAAAACGTGTCGTCTTGGTATTTGACAGAAAATGAAATAAGGTCAAGAAAAGGGACTAAGCCTGATGGAGAATACTCAAAAAGAAAACCTACTGGATCAACTGGGCCAACACGCAAAGACTTTCACGTTGGTTTTCCCAGTTCTCTTGCAGTGACATCCATGCGCACCGCTCTGGTGGCAATAAACTAGTCAAAACAGAGATCTCCGTCAGAAGGCGTTCACTGACAACCTGTTGCAGTGATCGAAGGTACTCGGTCTCCTGTGCAGTCAGTTGCAAGTCTTCCTGCAAATGCACAGGTAGGTAAATAAAAACACAACCTAACTGAAAAAAAAAA